TTTAAGCCTCCTTATAGCTGAGCACTTGTTTGTGAGTCTGTACGGATGCTATTGCTATCTCTAGGATTTGGATAATCGCTGCATGAGTAGTCTTCTGCAAAAAACTGCTGTGCGAGCCGCTTAGAGATTTGCGTTGAATGGAGTGGTCCGAACGCCAGTCTTTTACTCTTCAAAAGTCGCTGGCAGAATGATCAGTAGATGCTTAAATTTTAATCCGCAGGGGTGGTGTAGCGTTTTACTGGGAACATTAACGTAGAGTTAAATCTTTTTAGGTGTTCCTACAGCTACCTAGGCATTTAAAGTTTGAAGATAATGTGATTTTAATTTTTATCGTTTTTTTAAGTAGTTGGTTTGCAGGGAAAACCGAGCTAAGAAAGGTGGTATCTGCGTTGCAAACCACACATCACCAATTGATGTTATGGTGTTGAGTTGCGATAATTGCTACGCAATGATCGGACAAAAACAAGGAGGCCTCCTAGGTTGGTTTACTTATTTATTTGGTTTTGTTCCTTTTTTGTTTTGAAGTGCCACGTTACGGCTACCCTTCGCGGGAGCATCTGCTATTCGATAATTATTGTTTTTTATCACCAGTGATTACTTTGAAAATCTCCGTTTTCTAGGTTTTATACAGGACTCGTTGAGCCGTGCAGAACACCATATCTGGTTCGAACGAAGTGAAGCTGCTGATAGAAAAAAGGTGGTGCAAAGGTAGTGATTATTTTATGATTTGTTTTCAATTTTTAAAGCTGTTATTGGCTATCCAATCTATTCGACTGATATTTTCTTTTTTTTTTTTGCGCAAAATTTGATAGAATTCGGACTGATAAGGAGTTTTTGTGCATAAGCACGAAGTTATCTCATTACTTTGAATCATAAAGGGTTATTCATACTGTCCTCAGCCGTTTTACATAAGGTTATCCATTTAAGTAGCGAATGAAGCGATACCAGTTTGTTAAGAGCTTATGGAAAGGGTTGATGTTTTTGAAAAAGTGTTTTGTACTTCTCGATGTTTACGCCTGCTACTTTACGTACATCTTTTTTATTGTGTTTTTTACTCTTCAAACCATTTGGTCCTCTGACAACTCTCATACTTTACTTGATTAAATTGTGGAGAACATATATATGTAGAAAGTTCAGTAGTGGCCTCCGATATTTCGCTACGTGCAATGGCTGCTTTCATAGTCCGCTGGCCGACCCGCGAGCGAGCGAGCGACTGAGGTCAGCGCTTGCCACTTGTTTACAGCTGAATCTTGGTCGATACCGCCGGCCGAGTAGTCCCCCGCTCGCTCGCTCGCGGACTATGACAGCAGCCAATGAACGATGGGATTCTTACTAGTAACGCACACTCAAACGTCAGTATGAGTGTAATATCCACAGCGTGTTCCCACCGGACATACAATGCTTTCTAGTTGTACATCTCAACGATCGCTTTAATACGAGGGTATTTGCATTCGTCGCTAAGTGGTTGTGACTGAAAAAAGGGAACTTGCTGTGGAACGATTACTTTTCTAAACCTTTTTTTCTATTTCTCACCCATGTGCCCATTGTATCAACTGCAAAACGTCAAGTTGGGGGTATTGATGTTATATTCTCCTGGGATTTATGTAATCTATTTATTTAGACTGCGAGAACATGTGGAGGACGAGAACAAGCTACCTATTATCATTTTCCCAGAGGGCACATGTATCAATAATACGTCCGTTATGATGTTCAAGAAAGGATCGTTCGAGGTAGGGCCTGCATTCTAATATTTATTTGTTTGTTATACAGTATTGACTTCTGTGTTTCGTTTGTTGATCCAGATTTATTTATTTATTTATTTATTTATTTGGTACACGCTTAGGTGCGCTAACTACAATTCCAAGATCACATTAACTCAACAACCTGCACTCAATTAAGAGAAAGTATGGTTCAAAACAAAAGGTAGAAAGATCTCCAGTCAGGTGCCTTAAAAAAAGATTGAACGAAAAGTAGACACTTTAAAAAGGTGTTTCGTAAAAGATAACGATAAGGTATCGAAACCAGCCTCGGTAATACGCCACGCTTACGCGCGCATGCTTGAGCCACTCCCTTCATGTCTCAGTACGATTTTAATCAGTCTTTTCTGACGCTTGAACTTTTTCTCACACTTTCTAGACACGAGGAAAAAGGCATGATCATAAGAACGTTGCCATGCTTGTTCATTCTAGGTCCTCTTCTCACTTTGAATTGACATTTGAATTTGAAAATGAAACACTTTGAATTTGTTGTCAAATACCAGTGCTTCTACCCATACTTATCATACAACATCTTTGAGAATGAGCCTTCGTTAGCACCATGAATTCTGTGCTTTCCTTTCCAGATTGGCAGTACGATATATCCAATAGCAATGAAGTACGACAGCCGATTGACCGATGCATTCTGGAACAGCAGTGAACAGTCGTACGGAGAATATCTGTGGAGAATGATGACATCATGGGCAATTATCTGTGATGTATGGTATCTTCCACCAATGACCAAAGAGGTACGTGAAGCTATTACTGAGTATCATATTTTACCACCATATTTTACCCTGAAATGAAAGTTGTCTGAGTTATCCAAATGCGCTGTATTTCTCTGCTTCGTTTTAACTAGTTATAAGTGCGATCATGGAGTTTGAACTTTTTTGGGATAGTTTAGCTGTGGGTGGGTTTTTATTTAACGCTCCAAGGCTGGATTTATACTCGGAGAACGGGAGTAAAGTGAAAGTCGTTACTTCATTGCTCTGCATTTCTCCGTCTACTCCTTGTGAACGCTATTTCCGTCGCTTCGACCTTGATCTTGCAATCGCGCGCGCCTGGACGCAGAGTGTGAAGTCGCTTCAGCGCCTAAGAAAGCCGCCTAAAAATGCCATAGAAAAGTATGTATTTTTTTAATGTTTAGGAAGGCGAGGATGCGATCGCATTTGCACGGAGAGTGAAACGAGCAATTGCTAAGAAGGGTGGACTGGTCGATTTGGAATGGGACGGCGCCCTCAAGCGGGAACGAGTATGTTGTGAACTTCTTAGACTTTCCATTTTAATTTTTTTGCTAATCGCTATTGTTTATTAAGGTTTCATCGAAACTGATTCAACTACAACAAAAGCTTTATTATGACCGTTTGACTAGAACGACAACTATCAATAATATCACTGAAGAAGATCTCCAAACGGATGTGCTTGACATCATGCAGGTAAGGAGCATGCAGAAGTTTGGAGTCATTCAGCTCAGGCTGTCAATGCCCTTGGAATTTTCCACGTTGGTTATGAGAGTAGGTACAGTAAGGGGAGGGATTATTCAACGTAGCTCTTAGTTGTAAGTATATGCTACCTATTTACATTTTACCACAAAATCGTGGAAGGTGAATAGAATGTTGATATACAGAATAGGTTTTAGGACAATAGGATGGCTATTTGGGACCCACAACTCGGTTTACAGTATGGCTCACTTTTGTTTACGAGGTTGTTCTGCTGATATACACTAGAGTGTTGTACCAGCCAGAAGAACAGGAGAGTGTTGACCTGAGATTTTAAGCGCCTTAGCGGACATAACTGAGCAAGTAGGAGAGTTGTACGTAGTGTTTGGAATAAAGTTAGGGCTTAATTTATTGAAAGCTTCAATTGGTGGCTTACAATAAAGTAGAGGATTTGTTCGTATCTATGAAATTAGTGAATAAAAATCGGAAGCATAATAGTGGGCAAATTAAGTTTTTGTTCTTTTTTGGTAACGGGATAGTGAGAGGGATTTCGAACACATTCTGTAGAAGTAATGAATCGAACAAGAAATTGGTGTGAATGCCGAGGATTAAATTTTTTACGAATAAGTAAACACGCAGTTAGGTCTCTATGATAAATAGTAATTAAGCTTCTCTAACATATAGAAAAAATACTTGCTCATTACGATCTACCCAAGTACTTTCATAGGATATAACGTTCAGTTGTGTAACTAATAACGCTTTGAGACCGATTATCAAACGATGCAAACTTTGAGTTTCGACTAGTCCTCTGCTTTTACGGCGCAGAGATTTGTTATATTTGACGTTGCAAGCTTTCCTGGAGTTGTTTTGGACGAATTAGTAATCAATTGCTTCGCTTAATGCTTAAACTGGGCGCGAATTCGTCGAGTATGAACGCAGACAGATTATGTAATGTGCAGCCCAGTCCTCTATTAGCGGGCACGCTTTCATTAAAACGTAGTTCGTGCTTTCGCACCATAGCCTTAGCTCTCATTGCTAGGTCAGAATTCCTTTGCGAGGTTTACTGAGTAAGTAAACAATGATTGCGGTGAACCACATCATGTTGATGACTTTATTGTTGGAGTCACAAAACTTATACTTTCTAGGTTTTGCGATTCTATACTTTATAGTACCTGCGGTAGATGAGGTTACCGTGAGAGCAGAGGCATGCCTCATTGATTACTTACTCAGTCAATCGTTTCTTGTGCAAACAGTATTTTTTGTGTGTTAAAAAGCTTCCGTAGTAGCTGTTATACTTTAGACTGCGTTGCACCGTTTGTTTGTAAAAGAGCCATAGCGCAGTTTTGGTTGATAACTTCGAGTAATGCTAACAAAAAAATGTGAAGGTACCGTCCACGAAGGGTTTGGCATCTTCCCCCCGAACGGCGTGTCGCGCTCGCCGCATGCGATCGCGCGCTGTGGAGGGAAAGATTTGAATTCCCAATAGAAGGGTATGGGAAGTCGCCGCGGAACCACTGCCGCAGGCCGTGGGAATTCGGGAAAAGTTCTGTTACCCTCCACGAAGAAGGTTCACGCTATACTGTTGAATTTGAGTAGCGACGTGTATAAAATAGATGATCTAATATAGGATGCAGTAGTGCTTTGGAAAAATTTGTTGATTTACGAGCTCACAATCAAAAGTATGCTGGAATTGCTGCCAACTGAGAGCAGTTAGCTGGATTCTAACCAAACCTTAGAAGGGGTGGAGGCATGCAAGGGACTATTAGATTGGCATTGCGGCGTCTCATCTGTAGGCATCGAGTATAATCACCCCAGATGACTGCATACCTGAGCTCATAAGGTTCGCTCATTTTGATTTTAGCGAACTTTCAGTTATTATGCATCCGAAAATCAATCTCAGCGAAGGTTTACTGTTTTTTCGAAAACCGCGAACAAGGCTGAAGGTTAGTATGCTCCAATGATATGTCGCGCGGCGGGCAACTAGATAGTACATGGTACGATGCGTGATGAGGCAATTAGCTAAGATTCGTTACGCGCCGTGACTGAACCGGAACTCTCCATACAACCCTAAAAATGAAGGCCCTAAATTTTCGTGAACGGTGCCTTCACCTAAAAAGAACGGCAAAATTATTTTACGTTATCACGGTTGTGGTTGTTGAGTGTAAAATGTGTGTATATCACACTTCGTGAAAATGTCAGTTTCATCTGAAATGAACGCGATCTCCGGTTATACGGTGTGGGATTGGAGAGAACTCAGGTAATTAACCCAGAATGCTTTAGTCGATTAGCGAAGAAGATCGCAATTCATTGATGAAGCAACTAGATGAAACTGACGACGATGATGCCATCATAAGAAAGGTAAGTGCGTTGACCAGTGTGCAATTCAATCAGTTCAATTATGGAAGTAATTGTCTAACGCTCAAACAGGAACTACTAACACTTGAAAAGAAGGTTACTTTTAATCTTTGGTAAACCTCGGTTGCATCCTTTCTTTAACTGTTGTGGTTTGAGTAGTTTAGTTAATAGCGTAATCTTACTGTGATGTTCGTTGTGATGGTAATGAAAAGGTTTGTATTTGCAACGCCTTTTAATAATCTTGGTTTTTCTCTGGGCGAAGCGCAAATTTTGTTATATTCCGATGGGTGGGTATTCCGCGTGAAAAGATGTCGGTGATTGGTGAANCCATCAATCAAGGGCATCGCTGCTAACTCGAGGCGTACCAACCACATTTTCCATTTTGCCGCCCCCCAAATTTTGTCATACAACAGCTACATTTGAAAGCATAAGAGGGACCAGACGACCATCAGAAATTACATATACGCTCATGTTGAGTTGTAGGTGACACTGGTGATTGGTGATACTGTGTATTTGATACTTCCCAGTACTTTATATAAGTATCAGTTTGATTCTATAAATTCAGTTAAACTAATTCGAAAGATACTCGTTTTTCGACTTACTATGAGATAACATTTTTAACTGCGTTGCGACTGCTTGCCATCTCCTAGTACATGTGCGTTGCTAGTTGTGAAGAGTTCTATCAGAGGAGCGTGGAATTTCTCATTATATTGTTCGTCTTGGAAGTGCATGCTGTCCTGATTTCCCTGCTTGATTTCCATGTAGAATGTGTATGTGGATTCGTTCCATCTCGGTCGGTTCAGCAACTGATTGGTTGTGTTGCGCGCGGTTGCGGAGCGGCCACACACCTGATCGAATCGATCGAACCTTTTCAAAATGGTGGCCATTTCCGATGCATGCGTTGCGCATCCGCGTGTCTTGGCAGCCAATTAGTTCTGCAACCGACCGATTGAACCGAATTCAATTTGTACAAGACGTGCATGCTCTTAAGATAGAAAACATTGTGAAATATTACTTCAATTCAGGTCAGCGCATACCGACATGATCTCCGAAAGTTGTCAGACTCGATGGGTGCGGCGGTAGAACCAGATTCAAAACATGTCTAATGATTTCATTGTTGTACTTCATTTGGTATAGATATAGCTGAAGTTTTTTTTATAGTTGAAAAAATCGTTTCTTTTCACATGTTGACTATTTTTGAGCACGTGTAGAATAGAGAACTTTACGCGTACCGTGACGTCGAATTAGTTTTTTTTGCGTACTTCGGTTATACATATAACTGAAAAATCCTCCAGTTATGTTCGCTGCGACGCGGTTGCGTAACGGCTGTTAGGATGCCCTCGCACAGGTATATCCGCAGATATAGCTGCGCCAGGACTGTCTAGGCAGCCGCTACGCAATCGCACGCTCGCGTCGGCTGCCATTGAGGTGCAGCAACAGTTTATGTTGCAATATAAATGTGTATGAAACGGACAGATTCCATGCGTTTTTCTATACAGGCCATAGCTTCTTGAACGTGCTAGCGATGGTGCATTGATATTGTTGTCGCAACGGGTTTTCGCGTTGCTTCAGAGTTTTTTGTAAAAATCTGCATTAGAGATTATTGAGATAGTGTCTTGACAATATTTGTAAGGGCTCATTTTTCTCTTTTCGATGTGTTTATTGCATTTTTATAAATGAATTTTGTGTTCTGTAGATGTCGTGTTTGTGGTATTGTTTATTCCATGTAAAAGGATTTTTCTTTCTCAAATCTCATTTCATTATTCCATTTCTCTACAACTGTCTTCACCGGATAG